CGGCGGCGGCGGCGGCGGCGGCCCGGCGGCGGGGGGAGCGGCGCCGCGGCGCTCGCTGGAACATGGCTGACTCGGCCCGGCGCTGCTGGCTGGAGAGAAAACAAGGCGGGCGGGCGCGGGCGGGGGAGCTGGGCGCAGCAGTTCCGAGGCAACTTTTTTTTTCGTCTTCTCACAGCCCCGCGTCGCCCGTGCGGGGGCGGCGGGGCGCGCGGCCCGCGCGGAGGGAGAAGGGGAGCGGCGGGCCGGGGGCGCCTCCCGGGGCGGCCCCCCCGCGGGCGGCGGGCGGGGGGAGGGTCCGGCTGCGCGCCCCCCGCCCCTCCCCCCGGCCGTCATGGCCGAGTGTGTGCGCCAGAGCGCGGCGCGCACCCCGCCCGCCTGCGCTCGCACTCACACTCTCACACACTCGCGCACACACACTGACACACACACACACATACACACACACACACACAAAGGGAAGGAGCCATATTCTCGCTCGCGCTCGCCCTCGCGGCGGCGGCGGCGGCGCAGGCGGGGAAGACGCGCAGCGGCCATTCCGTGCGCGCCGGCCCCGGCGGCCGCGGGCGGAGCCAGCCCCCATTTCGAGCGGGGCTGCTCCCTCCGCCGAGCCGACAAAATGGGGGAGGCCGGCAGGCCTGCGCGAGCGGCGGGCGGCCGGGCGCACGTGGCGGCGCCGCGCGGGGCGGGGAGCCGGGCCCGGAGGCCGGGCCGCGGCCCCGCCGTCCCGGGCGACCTCCCTTCGCGGCCCCGCAGTGGGCGGGCGGCCCGGGGGGGGCCGGTGGCGGGAAGGTGTGCGGAGCCCGCCCCGCGCGTCGCCCCGACTTCCACGGCTCGGAAAAAAAAAATACTGCCCTGGTGGGGGCGGGGGGCAGCCCGAGCAGCGAGCAGGAGTGGCTTTTGTCCCTCATCCTTGTTTACTCGAAGAAACTTCAGACCGGACGTGTTTAGTCAGAACCGAAATGCGTCTCGGGGCCAAGCCGATAGCAAAGGAAGCTGCCTGGCGCTGGCAGCCGCGCAGATAGCGCCGCCATCCCCCAGCCCGGGCCCGAGCGGGCCTCCCGCTCCCTCCCCCCGGCAAACTTTTATGCCGAGACTATTTACAGTGATCCCTGGGACAGCTTTAGGTGAGCCGCGGACGTGGCCCGCGATCCGCAGAGGTCTGCGCGCTTTGGCGCTCACCTATTTGTTCCTTACGTATCGCAGAGCCGTGAATCGGCAGCGTCGCTTTTCTGACCTTTGGTTTTGTTGATTGAAAACGGGTGTTTTTTGCATTTAATTCTTCGTTTCTTTTAAATGACCGGTTGGGTATGCACCCAGAACAGATGCAGGCAGCGAAGTAACAAGCGCCGTGTGAGTATACCACTGTGTGTCCACTTTTTGGAGATCACACTCAAGGACCGGTTTTCGCCTGGTGTAGCCTTTTCTAGGAATTGACCATCACTGCCATTTTCTCTGGTATTATGAGGGGTTAATGCCACTGCCGGGTTAAACAACCAGTGCCTTGCTTTTCATTCCCTCCCCAAGGAGTTAGAGTGCTCTTAAATGCCGTAAATTTCATTGTTAACATTACGCTTTCATTTATTTTTTAGAAAAATAATTAAGCATGGGCAAAGGAGATCCTAAGAAGCCGAGAGGCAAAATGTCATCATATGCATTCTTTGTGCAAACTTGCCGGGAGGAGCACAAGAAGAAGCACCCAGATGCTTCTGTCAACTTCTCAGAGTTTTCTAAGAAGTGCTCAGAGAGGTGGAAGGTAAGAGGGCTTAAAACAAATACTAAGGAGGTACTAAAGGGTGAAGTCCAAATTGGGATTTTTAAAAAGCCTCGGTGCAATTTGCATAATGCGAGTGGTGGTGTTGGAACAGGCTGCTAAATATTCAGCAAAGGACACTGGTTTTGTTCATTTTAATACTTAAGAGTACAACTTGTTAAAACTTCGTTGTCGAGTTAAGTTTACGAGTTATTGTTTTATAGACCATGTCTGCTAAAGAGAAAGGAAAGTTTGAAGACATGGCAAAGGCGGACAAGGCCCGTTATGAAAGAGAAATGAAAACTTATATCCCTCCTAAAGGGGAGACAAAAAAGAAGTTCAAGGATCCCAATGCACCCAAGAGGCCTCCGTAAGTATCTTGCCTGTTTTTGTTTTCAAGGAGTGTTTTGCAGTAGGATCAGACAAATTTAGCAAGCCACCTTGTGGAGTCCGTAATCAAAGTTTCTTCGCTAACTCACATTGGTATGTTTAAATTTTGTAAATAAAATTCCTGTTGGATGGCAGTTTTAGTTAGAGCAGTGGAATTGGATTCTGGCCTCCTTCACCCAATATATCTCCTAAGTGTAATTTTAATTTTGATTCTTTTCTTTCCTGAGAAATACCATCAGTCTGAGAGTAACTTGCAGAATGTTCTTTTGGAACGCTAATAAATAGTGTCTGTTCAGCTAGTGGTGTCATAAGTTAGATCATTGTGTAAATTAAGTTTAATGAGGGATATTTAGCGTTTCATAATATTTATATCCTGTGAAATATGTGGTAGAAATTAGAAGCAGCTTTTATACAGCAATACAACACAGTTGTTAGTAAACCTACAATTCTAAAATTAAATCTCTCTTTTTAGTTCGGCCTTTTTCTTGTTTTGTTCTGAGTATCGTCCAAAAATCAAAGGAGAACATCCTGGCCTATCCATTGGTGATGTTGCAAAGAAACTGGGAGAGATGTGGAATAACACTGCTGCAGATGACAAGCAGCCTTATGAGAAGAAGGCTGCTAAACTGAAGGAAAAGTACGAAAAGGTAAGTATGGATTGGCTTGGTGTAGTGATGAAAGGGTATGCCAGATGTTAGATGAATGACTATACTTGGTACTGCATCTTAATCTCCTATTATGATTCCTCAGAGTTTGAGGTGTAATGCAGTTTTAAGCATAACAGCTATTCAGCGTGCCATTGGCGTTTTAAAGAACGTAGAAGATCAAATAAATTGTTGGTGTTTTTTGACTTAACATTATTTGACTCGGGTGGTTTTGTTATTCTCCGGTATCCAGATTCATGAAGATTTTGGTAGTCGCTTTGAGTCAAATGATTTAAGTATTTTAAATGATCAGGCACACAACATAAAAATAGGCTGGACCAAGTAACGTAACCTGTATTGTTCATAAACACCCTGAAACATGTATGTTTTCCCTCCCTTAGATTAAAAAAAAAAAAAAACTTAGAAAGTTATGAGTTTGTTGATCTGTACAGTAAATTGATATAATAAAATAAGAAAAAGCTGTAGCCTCTATACTTTGAGTTGAAATATTAAAAGTAAAGTTAGAGTTTAGCTTATTTAGTCATTTTGGAGAAATGTATCTATTTCTAGATGTTTCTTAACCTAATTGCATGCTCAGTGGCAAATAACTTTTTTTTAAGACAAGATTTTCTACTATGGATTAGGGTCTGAGAGTATAAACCTGTAGAATGCGTTTTTGCATTCAGAAGGTGGCAGTGTCTACCCTTTAATCAGTCTCTACGTTCTAGTTTTAATAAACTGAACTTAGGATGTGGTCCATGGTTGTACTTCAGTGAGGCATAACAATGCTAATGTCAAACCGTGTCATTCCATGAGTTACGGATTATTTACAATTATAATATTTTTACGTGTGTTTCTGAAAGTCCGCAGATAATGTGTTATTTTAGTGTATCTGAGTCCTTGTTTTTTCATAAAGTTTTGCCATGTTACTTTTATTTCTCTCCTTAACTGTTTTGTCTTTCCAACCACTTTCTTCCTGCCTTTATTTTGGAAGGATATTGCTGCATACCGAGCTAAAGGGAAGCCTGATGCAGCAAAAAAGGGAGTCGTCAAGGCTGAAAAAAGCAAGAAAAAGAAGGAAGAGGAGGAAGATGAGGAAGATGAAGAGGATGAGGAGGAGGAGGAGGATGAAGAGGATGAAGAGGAAGAAGAAGATGATGATGATGAATAAGTTGGTTCTAGCGCAGTTTTTTTTTTTCTTGTCTATAAAGCATTTAACCCCCCTGTACACAACTCACTCCTTTTAAAGAAAAAAATCGAAATGTAAGGCTGTGTAAGATTTGTTTTTAAACTGTACAGTGTCTTTTTTTGTATAGTTAACACACTACCGAATGTGTCTTTAGATAGCCCTGTCCTGGTGGTATTTTCAATAGCCACTAACCTTGCCTGGTACAGTATGGGGGTTGTAAATTGGCATGGAAATTTAAAGCAGGTTCTTGTTGGTGCACAGCACAAATTAGTTATATATGGGGATGGTAGTTTTTTCATCTTCAGTTGTCTCTGATGCAGCTTATACGAAATAATTGTTGTTCTGTTAACTGAATACCACTCTGTAATTGCAAAAAAAAGAAAAGTTGCAGCTGTTTTGTTGACATTCTGAATGCTTCTAAGTAAATACAATTTTTTTTATTAGTATTGTTGTCCTTTTCATAGGTCTGAAAATTTTCTTCCTAAGGGGAAGCTAGTCTTGCTTTTGCCCATTTTGGATCACACGAATTATTACAGTGTTTATCTTTCGTATAGTTAGCTGATAAAAAGCTTTTGTGTACACACCCTGCATACTCATGATGAGGGTAATAAAGTTTAATTGAGACAGTTTTCATCCATAACTGAAACTCAAATCTTGATCGGTTGATATCAGATTTCACATAGCCCAGGTTCATTTACAAAGTGAAGAGTAACCAATCTACTCACAGCACGGGATTATTAGAATCAAACATTTTGAAAGTCTGTCCTTGAAGGACTAATAGAAAAGTATGTTCTGATCTTTACATGAGGACTCTACATCCTTTAACTCCCATTACCATGTAATGGCAGTTATATTTGCAGTTCCCACGTTTAAGACTGAGAATGTATCCCCAAAAGCGTGAGCTTAAAATACAAGACTGCCATATTAACGTTTTTTTGTTGTTGTTGATAATTAGTCCCAACAAAGGCTCTGGAGAAAAAGTGCTGGCTGTAAATGTCTTCTCCTATTTATCTAAATGTGGATTGTTTAGGAAACTTGAGATCCTCCATTAAAGGTATTTTTAATGGGCCAACTTTTAAAATTGTATACCACATTTTAAATCGGGTATATTTTCCTATATTATGGTTTGCCCCTTTATAAATGAAGTAGACATGAGGGAGGAAGACAAGCTTTGTATTTCAGTGTGAATTACCTGATTTATTTGAATTTGATTTTTCTCTACAAAACTCAAGCTCATTCATCAGGGTCATATGTTTATCTGCTTAACAGTTTAGGGAACAATTTGGCAATTTTGTGGTTTTTGAGATTATCGTTCTCTTAAAGTGCCAGTGTTTTAAAATAGCGTTCTTGTAATTTTACACGCTTTTGTGATGGAGTGCTGTTTTGTTATATAATTTTGACTTGGATTCTTTCCATTTGCATTTGTTTTATGTAATTTCAGGAGGAATACTGAACATCTGAGTCCTGGATGATACTAATAAACTAATAATTGCAGAGGTTTTAAATATTAGTTAAATGGCTTTCACTTAAGATTTTAAGGTTTTGTTATATACATATTTTAATCTTATTCTCAGTTAATACCTCTTAGCAACATCATTTAAATAAGTGTAAGGGCGGGCAAAGTTTATCCCTTAAAAAATACTCACTTTACCCTTGTAAATAGGTTAATGGGCTGATAAAAGAAGATTTTTGTGAAACATTCCATGTGTTCTCATAGGCTGCTGTTTACATAAATCAGGAAAAACTAATTTTGCTTTCAGACTATTGGATTCAACAAGATAGTTTTCTGAAGCAAGGCACATGTAAGTAAAAAGCAGGAATAGTGATTATAAATCTAAACTTAAGTTTTCTAAGCTAAAGGAGAGGACCGCAGTAGAGGGGCTGAAAGTGTGTCAAAATTTATCAGATTTTTTAGTCAAGGGGAACAAGTAGTTATCTCTCATTTACATGGAAGTTTGCTGTAGCTAAAGAATCATTGTTTATTGCTAGTAGGTGATCCAGTTAAGATGAATTCTGCCTCAAGGAACTTCAGCGGGTGTCTTGTGACAGCTACTGTTAAGATGTTGAGTGGGAACAGGTTTTTTTGGGTTAACTGGATTCAGATCTTGACAGGAAGACATGGACAAAATCCCTTTTCAATCTGAAAACATACTAGCTCTGTTTACTATTTCAACAGTATACCCTGAAACTTGGATGTTCAAAACTCAAGTAAATGGAGGTGGGAGGCATAACAGATTTTTTTTAAGTTAATGCATAGGAACTATTTTAATGTCTAGAAATAGTTACAGCACTATGGGGTATAAAGATTTTCTTAACATCAGAAGATTAAACAGTATAAACTTTAGTATTAAGTCATCTGCATTTTAAAACGATACAAAATCGGCATACTGATTAACACTTAACCAAAGTAATTGTCTCCTAAAGGTTGGGAGCTGTTGCTGGTTAGTGCCTGTAATCGTTCTCATGATCTTCCATCAGGTGTTGGTACTTGCTCTGTTTTTATTAATTTTCTAAGAGTGAAATCTGAAAAAAAATCTTTTGTGTGTGCTGTGCACCACAGGGGTAAGACTTAAATGATAATGATGGAAAGTGCTTGTGTGACAGAAGCTGTTCAGATACTTCCCTCACTGCCTGGGGGATTGTAAGTACTGCTTAGACGGTAGGGTAGTATCTGGCTATGTTGAAAACTGCACTGGGAAGACAAGATGGAAATTTTTGAATGGAAAGTGTGGCCAACTCCCTTGCTTGGCATCACAAACTGTGACAGAAGTTCAAATCTAGGTCTGCTTGGTACAACAGGCCTTCTGAAAGGGCCTGAAATAGCTCTTTTTCAGTACCAGCCAGCTACTTTTTGCGAATGATGGTATCACTGTAAATTTGCACAAATTCAATACAGCTTAAATCAGGATTAACTACTGCTCAAGTGTGAACCATTGGCCAGTAATTAGCTTGCTTAATAAGTTGTGGTAGGTTATTTTTAAATTTTTTCATATTTGTGCTTTGTCATTTTAAAATGACTCTTGAAATGCTTTTAAAACAACGTAAAAGCCAGGAAACGGTTTGGACACCTATGCCACAAAAGATGCAAGCTGGTTCATTTCTTGTCCCCCTCATAGCAAAGACGTGAACAGCAGTGCTAACACTCGCGGGAACCTGGGAAGTTCCCTGGGTCTAAGCCAAGTTGCTCCCTGCAGTAATAAGGCAAAATGTGGCCCTGTTCTAGGAATGCTGCTATTTAACGATACACCATGGCACAGGACAAAGAATGACGAGCATAACTTAACAAGCCACACTCCAGAATATATAGCCCCACCTTCCAGTGGGTTTCAGTCTGAAATCATATCTACCAGGAGGAAATTTAATCACTTAGGCCTCTAGGCATGTCCATTGGTTTGAACCTTCTGTATTTATCGGTCACCTGCTGAAAAAGGAAGTGGTAATATAGATCTGGAATAAGATGAGGGATTACGATAGAACTTTAAGTTGTGGCGTGAGGTATGTGGAGACTGAAAGTAGTGAGAAAATCAGTGAAAAGGGATTAAAGAGATTCTTGTAAATTTTTATGATGTACTTTTTTTTTCTCTTTAGTCACACAATTCAAACATAAGTGACATTTCATGGTATGATAGATACCCCATGATATATTTGATCATACTTTTACTGATGGCCATTCACGTTGCTTCCTATTTTTTGCTATTCCTAACAATACTGCAGTGAACGTCTGCGTACATTTTTGTTAGGCTTGTGTAGGTCTAGATACCTTGAAGTAGAATTGCTGAGTCAACAGAGAGGTGCATTTAAAATTTTGGCAGATACTGAAAAATTGACCCCTCCCCCAATGCTATCCTTATTGTGAGACGTTTTAACAATGACTTTTAAGATATAATAAATCAGGTTTTTAATGGCTATTTCTTTGGCTCCATGAAAGAAATGTCCATTTTTAAAAGATAAATCAAAATACTGCCATTTATTCAGAGCCACCCAAACACAAGAAGGTAGAATTAGAACTGAAAGACCCTTGGGTTGACTATTTAAACTACTCTAACAAATTATTTCTCTGTAAAGTTACTGCAGTAACTAAATATTTAAGTAATCCATTGTGTGAAAATGAGGAACTTCCTATTTTGGCATCTTCAATCCAGTAGCTTTATCTGGGGAGGGCTTTTTCTAGCAGAGATTGTGTGTCAATCTTTACAGAAGCTACAGCCAACGGTTTTGGAAACTAGTCAAGGATTGTGTGGGCTGGATTCTGGGCATTAGGAGATAGTTATTTGTAAAAAAAGGAATGGATACAGAGGATCTGCCTTAAATGGAATAAAACTGACCACTGCTTCACCTCCTTGCTGGAGATGGTACTTTAGGTAAAGGGCATACCCCAAACGCATTTATAACTGCAACTGTATTAATAGGCTTTAAAGTGGAATTAAACTTACTTCCTTAGAGGTACATAGAATCTCTAGTTACAGTCTTTACCATATTTTTGTTCACTGGGTTTCAACTACGGATCATCCTATAAAGTGTTCTGAACATAACCAGGTAAGTAAATTAAAAGTCCTAAAGCAAAAGAATTATCGGTTGAGGGTAAGAGAGTACTCAGTGTAATGCCCACAAAGGTGTGAAGGGTAAGAACTTGCAGGCTACTCAGAGCAAGGACTCGGCAGCCTCTTCCCCACTCCCCAGCCTAAATTTCAGGGAAGCTCAGGTCTTGCTCTGCCATCTGGAGTCTGCCTGGCTGGGACTTGGGCATAGGGAGTGGGCTAGGCACACTCAGGCTGAGAAGGACCGGACAGACTTTTGTTTGTTTTTACAAGAGGAACAAGAGGTGCCATTGCTTTGGGGACCGACAACAGAATAAAGTATGGCACCAGTGTCGGGTCCTAGCGCGTTAGAGGAAAAGGCTCTAGGCTCTAAGGCAGTCCAGCCTATGCATTTTCACAGAGTAATGGGCAAAGGCCCATCAAGACTCAGAGGCTCGCTCGACCGAAAGCAGCATCACAATGATCCAGCAGTGCCAGGCTCACAGCAGGTGCAGAAAATTTTCGAGTTCCTTCCCCTCCTCTGTAAGGACAGTAACTAGGGGCTGGAAGGCTTCCTCCCTAGCCCTCACCTTCCTGCCTGGGTCCTCCTGCCTCGGCTACAATTGTGGATATTCGAGCAGGTCAGCACACTCCACCATCACTGTGATTCCTCTCTGGCCTTCCTCCTTAGGTTTACTTGGACTCAGGACACTTGCTGACAAAACAAAACTAAAATACTGCCAATCATTTAGAAAGTGATAAGCTACCTGATTCTAACAGGCTGGGAAGCGCCAGAAGAATGTGTCCTGCTTATGTGTCCTTAGAATTGCAGCATGAACTTCCAGAAGTGGAAGGAGAGCAATACACTACAATCGCTTTTGAAAAACTTGTTTACCATTCTTGTGGATGAAATTTGCGTTCATTGAAAGAAAACAAATAGGGAAACAAAAATCTACAATTCTATTAGGAGAACTATTAACATATTGTGTGCTCTTCTCGTTTTATATATATAACATGATATATATATATACAGATATATATTTGATTAATATATGTTATATGTGTATATAGATATATAACTTTTAAATCTGAGGTGAGATTCACATAAAAAACCATTTTAAAATTAACAATTCAATGGCATGTAGTACATTCACAGTGTTGTACAACCACCGCCTCTAGTTCCAAACATTTTCGTCACCCCAAAAGGAAATCCTATACCCATTAATTCTGCCCTTCCCCCTTAGCCCTTGGCAACGACCCATCTGCATCATCTCCACGGATTTACCTACTGTGGCTATTTCGCATAAATGGAATCATACAGTATGTGACCTTTTGCGTCTGGCTTCTTTCACTTAGCATAATGTTTTCAAGGTTCATTCACACTGTGGTATGTATCATACTTCATTCCTTTTCATGGCTGAGTAATATTCCAGTGCATGTATATGTGTATATATATATATATATATATCTCTCTCACAATTCACTTATTCATTGATGGACACTTGACTAGTGCTGCTATGAACGTGCATGTACAAGTATTTGTTTGACTCCCTATTTTCAGTTCTTTGGGGTACATATCTAGGAATGGAATTACTGGATCATATGGTAATTCTGTTTAACTTTTTGAGGGACCACAATGGCTAAGATGACCCTTCCACAGCAACTGAATCATTTTACATTCCCTCTAGCAATGTATAAGCATTCCAATTTTTCCACAACCTCACCAGCACTTCCTATTTCCCTTTTTAAAAAAAAAAAAAAAATAGCCATTGCAGTGGGTGGGTGTGAAGTAGTATCTCACTGTGGTTTTGGTTTGCATTACCCTAATGACTAATGATACCGAGCCTCTTTTCATGTGCTCATTGGCCCTTTGTATACCTTTTTGGAGAGCTAATTCAAGTCCTTTGCCGATTTTTAAGTTAGGTTGTCTTTTGGTTGTTGTATATATATGTCCGCTGAACAAAAAAATGGCAATATATTTACAAACACTCTACTTGAAAACTACTTTTACTGCTAACAGTCTATCTTAAACAAAACTTTATGTCATCATATATTCTTACTCTGCTCTGCACTGAATCATTTTTACTGCCTGCATGTTATTCCACTGAATAAATGTAAAATACCATAAATTATCTTGTCGATCCCATCTTATTAGACATTTGTGTAGTTTCTGATTTTTTAATTAGTTTTATTGAAGCATAGTTGATTTACAATGTTGTGGTAATTTCTGCTGTACAGCAAAGTGATTCAGTTATACATATGTATACATTCTTTTTCATATTCTTTTCCATTATGGTTTATCACAGGATATTGAAATATCATTCCCTGTGCTATACAGTAGGACCTTGTTGTTGTTTATGGATTTTTTAAAAACATTACGAACAAGGCTAAGATGACTAGACTTTCCTTATACCCATACTTCTGTGTCCATGATTATTTTGTTAGGTTATAAATATATTCCTCAAAGTGAAATGGCCAAAACTGAAGTCAGTTTTTTTTTTGTTTTTTTTTTTTTTTGCGGTACGCAGGCCTCTCACTGTTGTGGCCTCTGCCGTTGTGGAGCACAGGCTCCGGACGCGCAGGCCCAGCGGCCATGGCTCACGGGCCCAGCCGCTCCGTGGCATGTGGGATCTTCCCGGACCGGGGCACGAACCCGTGTCCCCTGCATCGGCAGGCAGACTCTCAACCACTGCGCCACCAGGGAAGCCCTGAAGTCGGTTTTTGATTGAAGTGAAACGATGAATTTGGTGAATGCTACCAAGCTGCCTTCAGCAAGTTTTCATCCAAATGTAGTAACTTTTTAAAAGGCTATTGAGACAATTTTACATATAAGGGATATGTAGGGTCATGATTTCTAAGATTCCATAAAGGTTTGAGCCTATAGCAGTGGGGGAAAATCGTGAAAGGGATAAACCTTCAAAAGAGAGCAGATGAAAAGCTTGAAAAAACTGGAGAGCCATTGGGTTGAAATGTCCATTCCCCTTTATGCTTGTTATTTTACTACTTTTCAGGTTGAAGATTAACAGAAAGAGCTTTTATATACAAGTAATTGCAGCACTGCAAAAAGAGAACGTGTAGATGAATTGGAATGGGTGAAAAAACTTTGAAACTTTTGCAAAAGCATTAGCGCTTTCTTGCTTTTCATTTCATTGTATTATTGTTCTTCATAATAATCTACATGATTTCCAAAACTTATTAGTCATTTGTATCAGAATTTTTTTCTTTAAATGTTAACTGTGTTTTCACATATGATTTAAGACCAAGATAGTCTACAGTTCTGGGGAGTACATGTCTTATCAAATGGTGGCCAACAGGTCAACATGAAATTGGATTAATTATAAAAAAACTTATCTTCTAGTCAGTCCCATAGGGCTCTATTTCATACACTGATGAATACTGGATTTTACACTATATAGATCAAACCTGAAAAGCAGTGTAAATTTCTCATTTTTTTTAAGGACCTAAATTTTAGAGGTCAACATTGCAAAACTTTATGTCATGAATTTATATACACTGAGCTTTTACAGATAATTATAATGAACCATTAGAAATAATACTGATTTTATTTTTTTAATTAGGTACGAGATATGTTATTATAAATATAATACTTGAAGTTTTCTTTAAATGTTAAGGTCTTGAGGGTTTTTAAAGAATTATAGTTAAGAATCAAACTGACTTGAAAAAAACAACAACAGAGATGCAGTTTTATTATTATTGTTTTTTGCTATGTCTTCATTTTTAGGCCAAATCTAACTTTTTCTCACCTTTAAGACCAAGGAGTCTTAGTAGGCTATTATTAATAGTAATGTTTAAAACCTCACTTAAAAAATCATAGAAACATTTCTATTTTGTTTTATTATAAATCTCTCTTTTTAGATGGGAAAATTATTAAGAAACTGCTAGTGCAAACAGAAGTTAACCTCGAAATATATCTTGACTAGCTTTCATGCCTCCACCATCAAATAGGACGAAAGGATGACCAAAAAAGTGAATAAACGCTGATGTCAGAGTTTAATACATGCTTTACTTCTTTTTATTTAAATCTGTAGACCAAGAGTAAAGCATATGGTAAATAAGTGGACTTACCCAGGAGCCTGGGATACTGTTTGGGCGTTTAATGATGTTCCAGTCATGCTTTGGCAAGTTAGTGGACAACACCTGGGCCAAGGATGGCAGCTAGCGTGGATGGCAGGGTAACTGACCCAAAGCTTCAGCAGGAGCTCCCAGGTGACTGGGTATGGAGGACCTGTTCTAGGGAACTCTGTTTACAACGGTTGACATTGCCTTATTGAGGGACCTACTGAGCACCCAATCAAAGCACCTCCTTTGAAATGGAACAGCCTCTCTGGAGCCACATTCCAGGGAAAGGAAATCTGGAACCTTTTTTTCTAGAGATAGGCAGCTGGCTGTGATTTCACTGCAATAGACTTACAAGGAGTAGCTATTACTAATTTTCAGAAACACAAAGGAATTCCTAAAACTGTTATTCTTCCTCCCAAGGGTTTGGGAATGTGGGTCTCCATAAAGTTTCTGGTCTCTTTAATTCCAGGGAGAAAGGCAGTTAGGTAGGTAATGGAAATTGTCAGTTGACAGTCATCTTCCTATCATCTACTCTAGATTCATTCTTTCCAAGGATCCAATTTTAGCTAAAAACATAAAATAAAACCCATCTGGTATCACTTCAGAGAGTTAAGAGGAGAGACTCTGAGAAAGATTTTTAAGGAATAAACTAGGAAAATGTATTCGTGATAAAGCTGATCAAAATTAGGTTTGAAATCTAAGTTTTCACCCAGTACAAAGAAGTCTTTCAATTTTTTTCCTAATTAATTATTTATTTATTTTTGGCTGCGTTGGGTCTTCGTTGCTGCGTGCGGGCTTCCTCTAGTTGCGGCGAGCGGGGGCTACTCTTCGTTGTGGTGCGTGGACTTCTCGTTGTGGTGGCTTGTATTGCTGTGGAGCACAGGCTCTAGGCACGCGGGCTTCAGTAGTTGTGGCGTGCGGGCTTCAGTAGTTGTGGCGCAGGGGCTCAGAAGTTGTGGCTCACCGGCTTAGTTGCTCCGCGGCACGTGGGATCTTCCAAAACCAGGGATCAAAGCCCCGTCCCCTGCATTAGCAGGCGGATTCTTAACCACTGCGCCACCAGGGAAGTCCCCAGCAGATTTTCTTGAGTGTAAAATATTTAGGTTTAGAGAACATTTGCTTTTAGAGTTGACTCCTTCAGTTCCATTAATACATAAAGCTAATTTCATTAATGTCATTAAATCTCCCTTTATGGGCTGAATTCTTATTAAATACAACAGACTACGTTGGATCTGTCACAAAGTCAAATTTGTTGAATGAATTGAACTGCGTCTTTCTCCAATTTATTTTAACCGAGTTTTAGGGGGAAATCTTCCTCTAAATGATTGTGCCTAAGATTATATTATTGTCGCTTTCTATACCCTATAATTTAACCTTTAAATGACATAAGATTACATTAAACAGTGACAAGTGGTATACATCACATAAAGAAACTAAAGACCACTAAGACTTAGCCGATCCGACACTGTGGGTTGGAAAATATATAAAGTCAGGGAGAATGAATTTCCTTACCCCCCAGATAAATCCGGTTTCTCTCCACAGGTTGACGACAACACCGCCTAAGAATGGAAAGCTGAGAAATCCAGCTCCTTGACTGATCAGGAGGCAGCTTCTCCTTCAGGGTCCGTTCATTCACTTGCAAAGGAGCCAGGCACCCTGCTTGGCACTGGAGACCCAGCGATCAACAGAACAGACCCAGGGCTGCCCCGACGAGTGTCTAGGAGCCCACATGTTCCTGGAGGAGGCAAACATGAACAAGTAAACAAACACAGAAGAAAGAGCATTGCGGGGCTTCCCTGGTGGCACAGTGGTTAAGAATCCACTTGCCGGCGCAGGGGACATGGGTTCGAGCCCTGGTCCGGGAAAATCCCACATGCCGCGGAGCAGCTAAGCCCGTGCGCCATAACTGCTGAGCCTGTGCTCTAGAGCCCATGAGCCACAACTACTGAGTTCGTGCTCCACAACAAGAGAAGCCACCGCAATGAGAAGCCCGCGCACCACAATGAAGGCCCAACGCAGCCAAAAATAAAATAAATAAACAAAATAAATGAATTTATTTTTAAAAAAGTGCTGCTCAGGGTAATGTGGTAAAGGCTGAGTGATGGAGGTGGGCGACACGGGGGGCCGTCTGGAAAGATCTCTTTCCAGGAGATGTAGCAAAAAAGTTCGCTCATTTTCCAGCTCGGTTAGTTGCCTGCCTGCTCGCCCTCTTTCCGGGGCCCTGAAGCTCAGCCCCCGCCAACCCCGGGGAGCCCCAACTCCTCGGGACCCTGCAGGCCGCTCTTTCCCAACTTCCCGGCCTCTCCCCGATCCGGGAAGGCCCTGCCGGGCCTCGCGTTTTCCCAGTTGCTCCAGGGAGAGGCCTGGTCTCGGCTCTCAGGATGTGGACGATGCAAATAGCACGGCCAGCTGCGGCCGGGAGCCGCCGGGAAGCGCGCCAGCCGTCGCCTCGCGGGCCCGGCCTCCCCGCGCCCGCAGCCGCCGAGCAGAACCCGCGCCCACTGAGGCCCCGTGGCCGGCGCGGAGGGTGCCCTCTACCGCCTCGCTGGTGCGCCCGGGGTGAGGGACGAACAACGATCGCGTGCCCGTGCAACGTTTGTTACTTCTCTCCACGGCGGCGGCCGGGAGCGGCCCGCACCACTGATCCCCTCCTCCGCGCGAGGTGAGAGGGGACGGGCCCCGATGTGCAGGGCTGATTCCCGGGGGCCGGAAAGCCAGCCCAGGCCCTCCGGGAACTCAGTGCCTGGCCTTCCCCTCGGGTTTGTTCGGTCTTTTGACATCATCGCCTTAAAATATTTTTCTCCTGAGTTTCCTGCTAGTTACAAGACTCACATTCTCCTCTGGCCACACTCCTGAACTTGCAAACATAGGTCTTATTTAGAAAGCACCATGGCAAGTTCGTCTTTATCCTTCCCCCCACCACGCCCCCGCCGTGGCTTTCGGGGATCTTAGTTCCCGTACCAGGCACTGAACCCCGGGCCCACAGGCAGTGAAAGCGCAGAGTCCTAACCACTGGACCGCCAGGGAAGTCCTGCAAGTTCGTCTTGAAAGAAGGAAGCCTGAAAGGAAGTTAAAACGGACCCCTTGCTTTGCCCACACTCAGAACGGGGAAGAGGTCCTGGTGGCCCCCAGCCCCGCGCAGTTCTCCCCAAAGGCAAGTGGGAGGTGATATCGGGGAAGCAGAGCGTATTTGGTGCCCAGGGCACTCACCCTTCTTGAAGGTGGGCGCACGTTTGACGGGGGTGCAGCTGGCAGCAGGGGGCTGCTGGGAGCCGGCCTTCCACGGGGACAGGGGGTCGCTTCCCCCCAGCCCTGCCTGGTGGTGGAGGGGAGTTCCGGTCCCTTCCCAGGCCCAGGTGTCCTAGCAGGGTGGCTGGAGCCTGGCTGGTGTCGCAGGCCCGGTCCTATCCGGGCGTGGCCTGGAGGCTGCAACCAGAGCCCCACCCGGGGCCGGAGGTGCTGGGGTCAGGGAGTCTTCGGATGGAGAAAACCTGCTCTCCCGAGGTAAGTGGGCTGAAAAAAATAAAACTAAAACACACACACAGCTGCTGAGACTGGCCCAGATTCTGCTCTGACGGTCGGCCTGGGTCCTGGGGGAGCTTCTCGGGGCAGTTTTAGCTTCATTCTCAGCAAAGGAGAGACAAGACACAGTTCAGAAATGAGTGTACGGCACCCTAACTGTCACAGGAAACGGCTGCAAATGACCGTGACATTATATCGTATTTTCATCTTTCTTTCTTCTTTTTATTTTGCTTTTCATTGTGCAACCAAAAATGTTAAGATTTCAGCTGGTACTGAATACATGTTACTTGGGAGGACTACCTCAAAAAAACAAAAACAAAAACCCAAAAAACTTTTAAACCAAACCCATACAGGATGACAGGTCAATGCTGAAGATTTTGTGAAGTAACCAGATGTGCAGTGAATGGGAAGCCCCATTATATTCTTACCCTTTTTCAATTAACTTTTAAACATGCTGTAGCAAATATGTCTGTTCCCCTCAGGTGGGCGTTTTGTTTCAGGGTTCCTTTCTGCTGCCTGAGAGTGCTTTAGTCTGCCAGAATCTCCCCTGAGAGAGAAGGAGCTCTCAATGTGGAATATCAACTCCTCTGCCTATCATATGCGTCAACCCAGGCCTACCTCTCTCCCAGGGGCATCAGAAATTGCTTTTGTGCACCGTTTGGTGAGGCCTTTGCATCCAGAAACAAAGAAAAGTGGAAGAAGAAAACAAAAACGATGCCCCGAAGAAATAAGAGCGTGATGTCCAAAGACCTATAAAGCACTGAGTTTCAAGTCACTGATTTTCAAAAATAGTTCAAGCACAGACTTTAGACCCACACTGCTCTGTGCCAGCCCTCACCTGACCACTTGCTACATGCATGTCCTTGGACAGATATTTAAGCTCTGGTGCCTTGATTTACCCATTTGTAAAATGGGCACAATAACTGACTTCATAAGGCTTCACGGCAATGTGTGAGAATTTAATGAAAGAATCCATGTAGGGCTTCCCTGGTGGCGCAGTGGTTGAGAGTCCGCCTGCCGATGCGGGGGACACGGGTTCGTGCCCCGGTCCGGGAAGATCCCACATGCTGCGGGGCGGTTGGGCCCGTGAGCCATGGCCGCTGGGCCTGCGCGTCCGGAGCCTGTGCTCCGCGGCGGGAGAGACCACAGCAGTGAGAGGCCCGCATACCAAAAAAAAAAAAAAAAAAAGAATCCATGTAAAATGTGACACAATGCTTGGCACTTGGTTAGAACTCAATAAATAGTGAGCTATTACTTTTTACATAACAGTAACAAATTCCATAATAAATTATTAGCTTATTATAATTACTATTACGTTATTACAAAGTCTCATTCTTTTCTCCTCCAATTTGGGCTTCCACCTTAATGCAAAACATACTAGAGTGGCTTTATTCCTAATTATTTGAATTTGCTGCCAGTGGTTCCCAATCACCCGGGGAGATTACGAAGGGACTGATGCCCGGGTCTCACCCGCAGGGATTCTGATTTAACTGATCTGGGGTGTGGCCTGGGCTTTGGAAATTTTGAAAGCTCCCCAGGTGATTCTAATGTACAGCCAAGTTTTTGGTGGTGTCCAAATCAAAAAGGCAAGTTCAAATAAAATTAAAGCAGTCTGTATTCTGAGCTAATAATTTGACTCATTTTGCTGCATTAGACATTCAAATCAGCCAATCGACTGACTTATATATTCACTGAATTTATAAGCTTTGACAGAGTTGACCAATTAATTTGGTTAAAAGGTTTGATTCATTAAAATCACATGGCCACAGCCTCAAGTAAATTGAATTTGTTGGAAATCAGCTATGATTGTGTAGGCATTTGGAAGTTTTTAGATTGTACATTACCACAGAAGTTCACCTTATTTAATTCCATTCTGTACATTTGCTAAGAAACTGGATATTAAATAAAAATGCTGATAGTTTTGGACTGATCTGACCAATTCATTCAGTAAAAAATTTGATTTCTCAAAGTCCTATAGCTACAGGCTAATGGAAATTGAATTTGTTGGGGACCAACTAGGATTTTAAGTGTAATTGGGAATATAAACTACTACAGGAGTACACATTATTTAATTCCATCCTGCACACTTGCTAACCAACGGGTTATTAAATCAAAATGCTGATAATTCGGATGAGATTAATGTTCTCTTGTCCCTTTGATCTTGTCCTGGGGACACTTTTTTTTTTTTTTTTTTTGTAGTGCGTGGGCCTTACTGATGTGGCCTCTCCCGTTGCGGAGCACAGGCTCCGGACGCGCAGGCTCAGCGGCCATGGCTCACGGGCCCAGCCGCTCTGCGCCATGTGGGATCTTCCCGGACCGGGACACGAACCCGTGTCCCCTGCATCGGCAGGCGGACTCTCAACCACTGCGCCACCAGGGAAGCCCTGTCCTGGGGACTTTTGACAGCATGTAGGTTGCTATCAGATTTGGACACCACTGTCTGTGTATAATTAGCCTCTTTAAAAAATTAATGAGCGTGTTCATCCATGTAGCGCTTCGGTCATAGTGATCCATCAGATGAATCATGAGTGAGGTAGCACTGACAGCCTCTGTCAACTTCCTGTCAATATTTTCTGTTGGAGGCACAAAATGCTAGATTAGAAAAAGTCCCTGAACCTTGTTCCCCAGAGGTTCTGGATCTGGTCATGGACCTGAGGCATCACAAGCTACTTTTTTTTTTTTTTTTTGGCTGCGCCGAGAGGCTTGCGGGATCTTGGTCCCTGGACCAGGGATTGAACCCGGGCCCTGCAGTGAAAGCACCCAGTCCTAACCACTGGACCGCCAGGGAACTCCTATCACAAGCTACTTGAAGTAGCTGGGCACAGCAGACCTTCCTGGGATTTATCCCTAACTGGACAAAACAAAATTCAACCACCACTCGTCTCCAAGTGTTTATGTTTAAAACATAAAACAGTTATCAAGTTGAAAATCAGGCAATTTTACGTGGATGGGCTACTTCCCCCACTGCAGTACAAGTTATTTATTAATTTGGGTATTTATTTGTAAGGGGCAAAGAAATAACATCATTAGAAACTACAGGGGATAAGAACAGTATTTTAGGGACTTCCCTGGTGGCACAGAGGATAAGACTGCACGCTCCCGATGCAGGGGGCTGGGGTTCGATCCCTGGTGAGGGAACTAGATCCCACATGCATGCTGCAAGTAAGAGTTCACATGCCACAACTAAGGCGCCCACGTGCTGCAACTAAGACCCGGAGCAACCAATTAAATAAATTTTTTTTGTTTAAAAAAGAATGGTATTTTCAAGTTTCCCTTCTGATTATTTTATGAAAAAAGGAATTTTGACTAAAGATTGGATAAGAAAATTAGCTTATAATGGTCTAAAGTGTAGGAAGGGAATGAATATTTATTCTGTGCATAATTTCCTTTAATCCTTACAATATCTCCTCAAAATAGAATCAATCCCAATTCACAGATAGGGTAATTGATGAAGTAACTTAAGGCTGCACAGTGGGAAGTCATAAAAATGGGGTTTGAACCCAAGTCAGTCTGCCCCAGACCCCATAAGCTATTCACTACATGTCAGGGTGGTCAACTGTCCTGGTTTGCCCAGAACATGGGACTCAGTTTTAAAACCATGACAGTCCCCAGAAAACCAGGACAAGTTGGTTACTCTACTTGGTAACCAGAGGTTACTGCTCCCTTAGCCAGCCAACAAGATTCCAGGCCCCAGGTCTGCCCCTGGTGGGAAGGATGGGAGGCCCGAATCCCTCACTTATTTCAGAAGATAACATATCCAACCATATTACATTCCCACTGGAGAAAGCAAGTTAATGGCACATCCGACCAAATTTCTATATCCTTTGATCATGTAGGTTAAGCACTGGCAAATTTTTCCCCCGAAGGGCCATTTTTTATTTTGCAGGTCACAGGGTCTCTGTCACAGCTACTCAACTGGGTCCTCATAGTGGGATGCTGCCATGGACAATACAAAAATGAAGGGGTGGGCTGTGTTCCAAGAAAATTTTAGTTACCAAAACTGGAGGTGGGCTGGATTTGGCCCATGGATAGTTTGCCAAACCCTGATGTAGTTTATTAATAACGAAACTTATTCGTTAAGTTGAATTATCTATAATTCAACTCGAAGAAGTTGAGTTCTTCAACTTCTTGAAGGTAAAAGAAGATAATTCAATTTGAAGAAGAATTTATTTCTAGAAGTTACTTTAATTGGGGGTAGGGCCGGTGGGCAGTTGGAAGCTGTCTTTTGGACTAACCTCTTCATTAGTTAGTCGTGCCTACTATTTGGGGACCACGGAATTTGACTTTTCTGATCCTACTCAAAAGTCACACAATGTGTGGGTGTGTGAAGGCGGCAGTATGGTATCTCCCATCACAAATTTATATCCCCTCATTGTCTGTTGGGAGATACTTGTCGCATTCATTTCTCCACTGTCTTTTCAGCTTCTTCTACTTCCAAACATCATTTAAAAAGTAATTCCTACTGCACTCTCCATCATATTAAGATATATTCATTTGCTTCAATGTAGCATTTTCTTTATTGTGTGCTGGAAAAATATTCCTAGCTTTTTTCTATACTGAAAAGCAATGCCACTTTAGCACTGGGGCAGCCTCTACCATCCCAACATTCATTCACGCATGCCTTTATCCACTCACTGGGTACCTACTCTTCGAGGGGCAGGGGGAGGGGCCACTCAAGACCTTGTGCCCATAAACTGGGAGATTGGGATTGACACATACACACTACCGTATATAAAATAGACAACTACTAAGGTCCTACTGTATAGCACAGGGAACCCTACTCAATACTCTGTAATGGCCTACAAGGGAAAAGAATCTAAAAAACAGTGGGTATATGGATTTGTATAACAGATTCACATTGCTGTACACCTGAAATTAACAGAAGATTGTAAATCAATTACACCCCAATAAAAATTAAAAAAAAAAACACCTTATGCCCCCATCACAGATATGCCCCCAAGAGGAGAAGATACAAAGCGACACAGTGTTAAATGCAAAAGGAACAG